TCCAGCTGCTCCTCGAGGTCCTGCAAGCGGCATTAGACACACATAGGAAATTACATTCTATTATATGACGTAAGGATTGGCTCTCTCCCGATTGGTCGAGGCGAGCTCCGCCGATTACTGTAAACAGTCATATTCATGTGCGAAAAGTGTGAAATATAACAATCCAAAGATCTTGAGCTAAAAATAGATTAGGCTTCCCCACAGGAGCTCCTGACAGTGTCCGTATTTCGTGTTGCTTCGTCCCCGTGAGGAGCTTTACGTTAGAGTTGACGTCCTTCTCTTATTTTATTTTTTTAACGGGCATATAATAAAACAGTTATTGACTTCAGTTATTGGCGAAGCCATTTAAACTAGCGTTTAAACTAGGCCTAATGTTCCACGATTTGAACACAATAGCTGCATTTGACAGACCCAAATATGGGTCCGTAGGTTCACTGGGGACGAAGCACACTTTGTAGAGCCAGGGGTCAGAGGTCATTTCTTTGGTCATCAGTCTGAAGGTGTTAAGTCTCTGACAGCTGGACTCACCTGCACGTGCGACTGCATCTTCTTCTTCTCGTTCTGGAGACTCTGGTTCCTCTCCTCCTCTTCCTCCACCCGCGACTCCAGGTCGTGCAGGATCTCCTCCAGCTCCTGTTTCTTGGCGGCCAGGCGAGCGCGCATCTCCTCCGCCTCGGCGAACAGCTCTGTCTCCGCCTGCAGCTGCTCCGCCAGGATGCTCTTCTCCTCCATCAGCTGAGGAACAACCGCCACAAACCGTTACCCAAGAGCAGCTCTCCACCTTCCCCACCCTCACACTGCTACAGCTACACTCCTACCCCACACTCCTGTTCCCTACAGTTACACACCTTCGTCACCCTCGTACACCTATACATCTCCCTTATCCTCACACTCCTCCAGCTACACTCCTACCCCACACTCGTGTTCCCTACAGTTACACACCTACGTCACCCTCGTACACCTATACATCTCCCTTATCCTCACACTCCGCCAGCTACACTCCTACCCCACACTCCTGTTCCCTACAGTTACACACCTACGTCACCCTCGTACACCTATACATCTCCCTTATCCTCACACTCCTCCACACCTGTACATCTCCCTTATCCTCACACTCCTCCAGCTACACACTCTACCCCACACTCCCCCACACACTCGTGTTCCCTCACACTCTTCCAGTTACACACCCTACGTTACACACCCTCGTCACACCTATACATCTCCCATCTCCCTTATCCTCACACGTGTTCCCTACAGTTACACACCCAGCTACATCTCCCTATCCTCACACTCCCCCCACCTCCCCTGTTCCCTACAGTTACACACCCTCGTACACCTATACCCTTATCCTCACACCTCCAGCTACACATCTCCCTTATCCTCAGTTACACACCTCCTCACCCCAGCTACACTCCTTACCCCTACCCCACACTCGTGTTCCCTACAGTTACACACCTACGTCACCCTCGTATACCTATACATCTCCCTTATCCTAACACTCCACGGGCTACACTCCTACCCCACACTCATATCTTATCCCAAGCCATGACCCAAGAACATCTTTGCAACTCACCCTCACGCTCCTAAACCTACACGCCCACCTCGCCCTCGTAATCCCACCTCACCCTCCTACAGCTACCTCACCCCCACATTCCCACAGCTACACGCCTACTTCATCCCCACACTCCTGCAGTTACACACCCATCTCACTTTCATACCCTCGCTCCTAAACAGCTACCTCGCCCTCGCCTACCTCACCCCACACACCTCACCCCCCCATTCCCACAGCTAGCCAACACACCTACCTCACCTTCCTGCTGTCTTACATAAACCTCATAGATCACAGTAACGTCCATTACACACAGTACATAATTCTTACTGAATGATTATGATGATAGTGGAAAGACCATGAGGTGCATAAGTGTTTTGACAGTGACACAACAGGAAGGTCAGTCATTCCACCAGGGCATACTTGATCTGTATGTTAATCTCTTCAAATTGAAGTGGGCAGTCATTGCATTATTTCCATGGTAATATGAATGAGTTATGGCCCTTTACAACTGCATTAATGTCCAAATATGGAACCTCACAGCGCATCAGTGACACCTCACACCAAAATAGACAAAGGTGATCTTCCACAGCAATGTCTGCATTATGAGAGGATGTCAGTGATCTACATCATCCGCCAGTATGCTGCACATTCACTGGTCCGGTGCGAGATGGCGAGACCTTCAGCTCACAGGGCTCCACCCACCTGCTGGTGTTTCCTTTCCATCTCCTCCAGCTCTCCCTCCACCTTCAGCTGCCTCTCCTTCACCTTCAGCAGCTCCTCGTCTTTGGCCTGTAACTCCTCCTCCTGCCGGGTCACCTGCAGCAGCGGCTTCACCTGAACACAGAGCACGCAGTTATGGAGGGGAGAGGCAGAGACACATACACAAACACACACACAGAAACACACACACACACACACACACACACACAAAAAAAAAAAAAAAAAACATACTTAAGACACACAGACAGACAGGCAGGAGCAATAACAAAAAACACACGCGCGCAGACAGGAACACAGACATGCATGCCTGCACACTCGCAAAGACACACACACGCATACAAACACGTATACACACACACACGTGCGCGCGCACATACACACACAGGCTTACACAAATGCACTGGTACACAAATGCACTGGTGCACACATACACACACAGGCTTACACAAATGCACTGGTGCACACACACACACACTCAAGCTTACAAAAACGCACTGGTGCACACAGACAGACACAGGCTTACACACACACACGCGCATGCACGCACGCACACACCTTGGTGAAGAGTCTCCACCACTGCCAGTGGCGCAGCTTCAGGTAGGCGGCGCAGTTCCTCTGCAGCACCTTCAGGGCGCTCAGCTGCTGCTGCTTCTTAGCGAACGCTCTGTGCAAACAAACGGGTCATGTGATCAGGCCTGCGTCAACCATAGCGCCCAATTCTTCCTGGTGTAACCAAGTTTTCCCGGGCATTTTCCAGTGTTTTCACACTCAACTTAATCACTTATGCAATTCTTTTTATGCACTCATATAATTAACTTTTGGAAAAGAAACGTACATCCGTCTTGCATTAGCAAGCATACATGAAACGCTTGAGTACCTTTAAGATTTTAGAGTTTGACAGTTCTCCAGGAGGCCAGCACTAATGCCATCTACAGACCTCAGCACGTTTCAAAAAGCTAGCTGGGCATTTCATATATCCGCAAACAGGGGCCTTAAAGGTGCCCTGTGTAAGAATTGAGGTCAAAATATCCAAAAAATGAGCTAGACACAGCAAAAGAATGAGAAGAAATAAGGGCAATGATGTCGCAAAAAAGATCACAAGGTATAGTGCAGCAGAGATATCAACCTGAATTAGCACGGTAAATCACTAGCTGCGCACCGTCCTGTGTCATAATACCAGTTTCTGCAGTGCACGAATACATCGCACGGCTTGAGGACGTACTTGAACCTGATGTCAATCGTGTGGAAGGTTCAGCCCGCCACCATATCAGTTCAAGAGAGGCGAACAGCAAACAGCAAACCGTTCTGAGCCAGGATTAGATAGATTTATTCACGCAAATGTTGGTTCAGCATTAGCGCTTAACATTAGCTAACGTTACGTTGACGCTAGCTTGCGCAACGGCAGCAAATGTTATCTAGCAAATGAATTTATTTTGAATGAACAATGACACGTAATTTGGACATATTTACTGGATCGGGTGAAGGGGAGTAGCTTGAAGATGTCATAGTACAGAATCACTTGACATCAACTGACATTCGTTTATGTGTTTATACCTCAGAGTTTTGGAGTCAGAGCGGCCCTGTTTGGATTGTAGATTGTCGCCTATGGCTCTGGGGTCGTTGGGAAGGTGGGGGCGGAGCATGGACAGTAGGCTTGATGGGAGGAGGGACTGTGCCGTTTCTCATTGTTACGCTAGGGTAGACCAACTCACTTTCTGCAGGTATACTGCCCCCATTTCTTTGGAGTGTGTAGAGTATCAAATTAATTTTTGGCTGCCAATACACAGGGCACCTTTAATTACGCCAATATGACTGGACATTTCAGAACATTCTGACTGCAGATGTGTGGTGGCTGGTTGATAAAATGATCATTCATTTGTGTTGATTTGAAATGAAACATGCAAAAATTACTTTTATCTTACCAGAAAGAAACAAAACAAATTTCCATTAACAGCCTTTTCATTTTGATGATGACAAGACTGCCAAGTTTTGAATCAAGTTTTCATAGTTTTACATCAATTAGAATGTTACATGTCACAAAACTCACGACGCAGGAAAACAAACACTCAGAGAGAACCCCGCTCAGAGAGTGAAGTCACACACATTGTGTCCCGTAGGACTAGTCAGCGCACTGAATCACTGGCATTGGTAGTTTGCCAACAGAAACACGATGTGCATGCAAAAATAGGGGCTCATGCATAAATGGGTGCGCACAGCTGGGGCCCCTTAGGGGCCACAGGAGCTTACTTGCGGGCCAGATATCCTCGGCACACGGACTGAAAGTAGATGATGATGTCCGTGATCTTCAGGTCTCTCTCCTCCTCCAGGTGGGCCAGGACTCCGGCCCGGAAAAAGATCTTACTCTGACCGATCCTGAACAGGTTGGGATCCAGCTCCAAGGCTTGGATCTTCAGGAAGTGTACAGGAAAAGAGGAAAAAACAGAAGGGTGGATTGCACAATCAGCCACTGCTGCATTTATTATCATTTATTGAGCGGCGGACATATTTTACAAATGGTTCTGGATAGATATACTTTTAGTACAGCAGGAGGGATAATCTGTCTGGATTTGATCCATACTAGGTGCTTTAGAGTAGTGGGCCGCCAAAGAGTTAAGAACTCCAGTTCTGAAACCAAAGCCTTGGGTTGAAGGCCATGGCAGGAGTGTCGCTCTAATAAAAATATTTTGGGCTAATCATAATTCTCTGTAAACTCCAGGCAGAGAGACTTCGACCAGCCAGGACTCGAACCTGGAACTTCTGTATTCGAAGGTAACAGCGCTATCCACTGTGCTGCCTTTTACGCTAATAATAACAGCTAAAATCTGCATCAGTAATACAAGTGATAAACCAGCATTACCATTCTCTCACAGGCCTGCTTCCCATCCATGAAGCCCTTGGGTATGGCGTTGGGGGTGAGGATCTCATATCTGTGAACATTAGAGAGGCGTAATGACACTCCCGGAGGCTTGTGTACTTGCCAAAGTATGAAAACCACAGAGCTAAAAAAATGTGCAACCCAAGTCTCTGACCAGCTGTTAATTCTTCCAGATACATTTATATGACAACTTTGCGCCTGTCGAACCAAGATTGACATAAAATTTTTTTTAACTGCGCCAAAAATTCACAGTCACATCTCCTGTCTGTTCAGGCTCCCATGTGGTGGAATGACCTTCCAACAAAGGTCAGAAACTGAGAGACCATCCTTGAGTACAGGCTGAAAACTCCCTTCTTCAGACTACATCTACATGCCCCTAAACCTAATTTTACTGCAACTAAGTTTTAAAACTGAGTGTTTCTTGGTCAGCACACCATCTACTATGATGGGTCAATTGATTCATTTTTTTTTTCCCACAAATTACCCCATAAATAATGATACAACCCATGAGATACAGCTTTGGAATTACACACGTGTAATACAACATTCACGCCTTGCGATTAGTCAGACACAAACACAGTAACGTTACCATTCCTCTTGCTGGTAACCATTAACCATCGCTAGTATTAGTTTCTAGTTTATTCAAGTCAATGGGATGAATAATTCAGTGGCTAGCATGCTACTGCTTTTTGCCATTAAAGTAATAAGTTACGTGAGTTACTGTTATCGTAGAAACTTGAATTTAATACTTTAATGGCGAAAAGCGTAAGCACGCTAGCTAGCTAATTATTCATCGCATTGACTTGAATAGAGCGCCAACTAGAAGCTAATGCTTTTTTTTAATTTTCCAAGTAATACAACGATGACATTTATGGGATAAATAAATAAACTCCAGCAGTAATTTTTGTTTATTCGTCATCGAAGGCTCAGAACAAAAAAAAAAAAAAACTATTCTTGTTTCATAAATTCGATATCTCGAGCTCACTCATAAGAGATGCTCGATATATCTACATGGTCCATGTTCTAGCTACCTTCTGTAGCAACTTCTAGCACTTGGATTGTACTTCACTCAGGTGATTTCAGTGGTTTTTGTTCCAGCTAAATATGCTTTGTATTTTACATCGCTCTGGATAAGCACTTCCGCTAAATGTCAGTAATCTAATACGGACGTTCAAATGAAGAGACAGCAAACAGACACGATTCCAATGAGGTAGCGTATAGTACATAGACCTTACAGTTCACGAGCAGGATAGGTGTCGGTACCTCTGTCTGAACTCCTGGAAGACGATGCGGTTGGGGAAGCCCTGTCGACAGATGCGAATCCCCTCCAGAACACCATTACACCTCAGCTGGTCCAGGACAAGGTGGGGGTCCAGCTTACCTGCCTGATGGAGGGAGGAGGGGAGAACAGCCAATGAAGGACATTACATCATGACGGTGATACAGCCGATGCGCTTCGCCAAACAAAGGACATTACACCATTACAGTTGCACAGCTGATGCTCTTTTACCCGATGAAGGACACTGCATCCGTACAGTTATACAGCTGATGCTCTTCTCTCAGTTTGCATGAGAATATAGCCTTTTCTTTATTTTTTTTTTTTTTACTCGTTTTTATGCCAGGGCCAAGCCATGTCCTGCTAGCCGTTACAGTCCACAAATGCAAACAGCCTCTGCTTCACTCACCAATAAGTCCATAACAGTGGTTCCCAGGCCTCTCCACTGGGCACACCAGCCAAGTCCAGGTATTTGGTGTGTTCCACCTTAAACACTAATTCTAACTAATCTTGAGTTTGATTAGTCACATCAGGAGAACTAATGGAGGACACAACAAATACTAGGATCTGGCTGGTGATTCCTGAGGAGACGGTTCAGAATCACTGGTCTGCAGGAACTGAAAGTTGTGTATTTTTCACTTCACAAAGCACTGGCTCTTTTTCGGCAGCACGCACCCTTTTCTCGTGGTTGGGGATGATGCAGCGGACGAAGTTTGGGTTGGTGTTCCTCAGGGTGGCCATCAGCTTGGTGAGCGACTCCTTGTACAGCTGACCCACAGTGCGGAACATGCCCTTCTTTGTCTTGTAAGTCGCCCCGAAAGCGGTCTCGTTCATCCCGGCTACCTGGTCCAGGCCTACGATGCGATCCACTGCCGGCGAGAGGAGGAAGAAGAGACGTTTTAGAGGAAAGGCAAGCGTCCGCGGCGGAGGAGTGACACACACAGCAGCGAGGAGCAGCAGCCGGAGGTATGAACACGATGGATGAGGACAACGTCTACACCAGGAACCTACAGAATATGCTTGACAGCTTGGGCAGCTGGGGTGGGTGTAGCCAGGGCAGGAAGAAGGAGGGGTCAGCGGCCTAATGCTGCGTTTCCACCAAACGCGAAATTAATTTTTCGCGCAACCAGATTACATTCTAAGTCAATGCAAAAATGCAAATACACGCAAAAAGACGCGAGTTCGCACGGGGTGACGTAAATCATGTGGGAGACGCGGCGGGAATGCACGAAAATTCGCATTTCGATCCACATCAAAATATTTTTTTTTGCGAAAAATTTGCGCGAGTAGCGCAGTGTTCTGAATAGCATCATCGCTACTAGCAGCAACACTGGCTAGCTAGGCTACCTAACTTCATATTAAAGCTGCAGTTAGCTGCATTGCATGAGATAATGGGAACGCTAGCTATCTAGCGTGCTAGCTAGCTTGCAAGCTAGCGAGCTACCAGCCTGAAATAACCTATTGATCAGAGTTTCACAACAAAATAGTGGTCGAGCTCAACATCAGATATGACAACATCATCAGTTTTGTGAATATTTTTATGTTCAAGCCAGCACAATGTTTATAAAGTAAAATGTTTGTGATGTTAGCATGGCAACATTAGCTTAGCCATCTTGTTGATTTTTTGCAGGAAGTACCACCCGTGCCTTGTGTGTAAACAAGGCCTCAACTTGCATTGCTATTGGTCAGCGGTGTGAATTCGCATGTCAATCCTCTGCCAGGTTGTTCTCCCACAGAAGTGAATGGGATTTGCGCGAACAGGGCGGAAGATTTTCAGACTGAAAAAATAAAAATGATCCCGCGGTCAAAATCCCGCAAATAAAGAGAGGAGAAATTTTGTTTCGGTTCGGTGGAAACGCGACTTAAGACTAAACAAGCACAAAACAGCAACAAAAAAAAAAAAAAAATTTAATTTTTTTTAGGGAGCAGAAAGAACACAAAGCCAAAACAAGTCTAACCAAACAGCACAAAAAAAAAAAAAAAAAAAAATTAAAATAAATCCAGACTCAACTACATCGACAGGCACAAGCGCAGATTTGGATGAGGGTTGGGTTTACTAGGCCCCAGCAGTGAATAAAGCAGTGTCCTGTGGTGGAAATGCCTGCATTCACAGCCTCTTGTAAAAATAAATCCAATAAGGGACCATCCCTGTTATTTTCCCCGAGCTCTCCATCCAATTTCAGAACAGTTAGCTGAAGCAGATCTGTATAATGTCCCAGAGTGCCAAAAGTCCTCAAGCTTCTGGGGTTGCCCATCTGCCCCACTCATGCAGAGAGGGGCTGATCTTTTCAAAAACATGGAGCAAATGAGCATCCTCTTCTGTATACATTATCTAGCAATGTCCAGGCCAAAACGAAGTATGCCAGGCATTCCCAGACATTAAATTTTTCATGTCCTCAAAGGATTGTTACATGGATTCCATCATTAATGTACCTTGGATCCGTTCTAGCATTTCCAAGAGGAAATGACCAGAGCCAGCAGTTTCAGGAGATTGCAAACTGCAGCCCAGTGAAATGATAAACATTACTGTAATCGCCCCGGGTACGTAGCAGTCACAGCGCCTGAGAGAATGGGACTACCTCAAAATAACTGTTAAGCACTTTGTGGTTTTAGTAGCATTAAAATGGTGCTCTAATGTAACATGGCTAAATACCATCTTAATCCCTTTTCAAACAAACAAGCAGATAATCAAACATGGCCATGTTCTGTACAGTTAGGCAAACAGTCGAATCATCCGTCTCCTGCACCATTTTCATTGGCCTTAGCAATTATAGTACAAACAAGACAATCAGTTTCAGAAAAAAGACCACCAATTCAAAAGTTCAAATTCAAATAAAAAAAAAAACTGGTCAAATGACTTAAGATAATTGAAAAATTGATTAGGCTGAAGAAAAACACATGGTTTAAAATAAGAAAATGATTTAAATAAACGAAAAAAACGCATCTAAAACATCAAATTCATTACAAAGCTTAAATAATCAAAGCCAGGGAGATGTAAAGCACACATGCATGTGCGCATATGCATGCGTGTGTGTGTGTGTAGAATGTGTCTGGTGGCGGTGTGTGTTATTCGTTCTTTGTTCCGTGGAGGAGTCTGAGCCTCAGACAGAATTTAGCAGGATTAAAAAAAAAGCACAACAAAAACAAAAGCTCTGTGTTCATTCCACAAGCCCTGCCAGGTCTGCACATTTCTCCTTCACTGCAAACTCAAACACTAAATTAAAACTGCAAGTCCAATCAACAATTCAGAAAAAACTCAAAATAACTTGAGGGACATTATAGAGATCAGTCTTCTCTTCATCTTTTTTGTGACAGATAGTTGGCTCTGGTTTTTTGTTTTGTCAGTGAGGGACAGAACTGGACACTACAGGCTCTGTGAAGCAGATCACTAACAGTCTATTTAAATATCATTCCTTTCAGCAATCTTTTACTTGGCCAGCCGATACAATCTAGGTGAGGAGCGATTTTCAGTTCCATACGGACACAAGGCCAAAGGAGGTCTTCCTCTGCAAGTTTATACGGTTTTGCTTCGACAAAAAGACCAAATGAATTACAAAATTGACATTTGTACAAAAGTTGTGATGAGCAGAACACAAAAAAAGTGAATTTTTAGAGACAGATCTAGCATACGGGTGATGAAGCTT